AGTATCTGTTCCCATCCTGCTCCTAAGTGTTGAAATTAAAAAATTATTTGTGGAAGGTTGCAGAGGACAATACATTTCCCAAAAACACACAGGAAGCCATTTGATAATATTCCAAGAACAGAACAAAAAGCAACGTTAATATTTCCATCCTCTCTCAAACACAGTCATGCTTAGGGACTGTGCATATCCCTAGGTATGTCCTTTCATTTTTGTGTTCTTGCATTTTCCAGCTCCTTTGTAAAATGCTCTGAAATATGCTACATAAGACCTGTGTATTGATTCAAAAGTTAATGTAGTGTGGTAAAGGAGTGTCTCAGGAAGACAATTTTTTTAGATTTGTTTAAAAAAATGGTCATAAAGGGTATCTGCATTATTTTGTGAGTCCACATTATTATCAATAATTCACAATCTCTGTGATTGGAAGTTGTTTGAAAGAATCATATGGTGCATATATATCACAGTATTGTAAAGAATTCTGTATTTAATGCCTCCAATTCTAGAGGATGACTGAAAAATATTGTATGCTCAAAATGTATGTAAAATAGAATGTGTGCACACAGATATGCAGCTTACTTCGTACTGTTTATAAATAGATTTCAACTGCAAATACAAAGTTTAGAATCCGGTCCTGCAGTACGTTATGTCTGGGAGTGCTCTACCTCATGGTAGGCGTTCTTATGAAGAATCAATAATTTTTTTTATGAGAATATCATTATAGAGGCTGTCAAAGCTTGGTATAAATTTACTTTTAGTTTGAAGAGGAAAAGTATATCCACATTAAGGTATTACTTGTTTGGTAGTTTCTTCTTGGTTCTTTCCGATTACCCCGTTTAACATCAAAGGCAGCTTTACAGCCTGAGCTCTGCAATGCTTTTAATATGGCTGAAGACTGAATTTGAGGCTGGCTAATTTAGACAAGAATGGTTTTACCATGCAGTAACACATTGCAACCAGAGCCAGAAGGCAACTAGAATTAAGTTGCAGCAAAAAAGTATAAAACTATGGAAAACTGTTTCTGAAACTAATAATACTTTTGAGTCACCCGTAATGGTAAGTGCCTCCCATTCTGAGTGAGAATAGAATGGAAAAATAATGTAAATGGTAGCACTCCAGCCGGTCACTGCTTTCAAGAGTTTTTCCATCGTAATGCAAATGGCTGACAATCTTTGGATTAAATCACTTATTCACTACAATTGCGGGTGCAGTTTATAGTCTGATCCTATACTTTCTTGCATGACAGTGGAGGTTAGGGGTTTTCATGGGACTCGGAGGAACTGCTTTGATGCAAGTCCTAGCAGTCAGAAAATAAGAGCAATTGCTTACAAGACAAGTATAAGCCTCATGGGCTTTGCCACTGCACTCTTACTGTTTTCAATAGTTTTGTCCCTCTGTTTCCATAGGCTTTTCCCGCAGACTGCCCCGTTAGTTTACTGTGATTGCTCCTTGAACCCATTCAATGGGCACACTCATTCTCTCTCTCTCTATTAGCAGCATCCAGCTAGCTTGCTGCCTTCAGAGACTCCTCTGAAGACCCGTCCTGTTCACCAGCTTAATTAGTTTTATCAGCTCCTTCTGACTGCTGGTAGCTGAAGCTCGTAAAAGAGGAGAAGAATGGTCCCTAAGAAGTCTCTGTCGGGCTCTTTGTCACTAACTCCAGTCTAAAACCATGGACATGTATTATATCTCCTTATCTTTGTATTCTCTTTGTTCTCCCCCAGCACTTCCCTGTTTTTCCCCACCTGTTTTGCAGTTTGAAACACTTACCTTGACAAAGCCCCTGACTCACAATTTATCCTGCATATTCCTGAGGCAAACCTCTTTTATTACTCTGACATAGGGCCCTTCCCTAAAGCATCCGATGGTATTGTGTATGGGTGATTCGAGGATACTCGTGGCAAACCAGACAGATTGCATAGACCTTAAAATTATCCTTAGGTAGGATGAAGGGGAGGGGGGTCCAGGAGGAGTCTTTATTGTTTTTTTTTTCCCCAGGTGTTCAAAGGGCTTGTTATTATTCACGTGACATGGACCTATCAAAATGCCTTGTCTCCTATAGGTTTCTTACGTCCCACTAGATCATATGGAAAATTGCATTATAGGACATATCTTCATTTTGTGTATATTGGTGTAGCTCCATTGACCTCAGTGGAGCCACACTCATTTGCATCCGCTGTCTTTATGGTTGAATATGAAAATAAAGAAGAACTAGGATTTTTAACATTTCACATAAATATCTTTCATATATAATCTCCCCAAAAAGGAAGGCTGAACATCTCTTTGAGGTTACTTTGTCAGTTCAGTAACTATGAACTGTAATCCGTATTTTGATACAGGCATTTCACTAATGTCATTAAAAAGAGAGAAGCTGTTATAAATGTTCTGATTAAAAGAGGTTGCAGGAGTTGCTATTTAAAAGTTTTGGGGAAAAAGTTTCCAAGCTTCCCGCTTTGAAAACTGGGAAAATCTTTTGTTATTTAGCCATGTCTTTCTTTAGGACAGAATTCATTGTACATGTCAGAAATCAGGTATATCTGAACCACCCCCAATGCATACCACAGGTTTGTGGGATTTTATTTTTGAAACAGTTACTAATTTTTTTTAACAGAATAGAGAAGAGCTCCCCCAGCTACTTAGTGAAATGAAAGCTTTATTCAAGAAGCAATTATATTCTTCATTACTAATCAATTAGAGCTAAAGGAATTATGTGCTTGTCTACCTTTCAAAAATATACAGAGGTGGAGAGGAAAGAGTGAGATGGATTGGTGAAGGCATAGGGAGCTGTGAAGAGGTGGGAATGCTGCATAAAAAATACAAGGAATCCCCCTCTCACTGCTCTACAAGTGTTTACAACTGAATTGTCAGGCTTGGCACTAATGACTCTTCTGGTTTTGGTATTGCATAACCAGTGTTCCTGAGAAGAGATCCAGTTACATTTGATTTGAATAATAGGCCTTAGTGGACTGTGGAAAAACTGTACAATAATTGTATTGAAATGGTCCAAATGTCTATTTATAGGGCTCTTAGACATTGAACATACTGACACACCAAAGTTGAGAAGTCCAAAAATGATGTAAATTTTCCAAGAGAGCTTTTTTATAGCTCATAATGGTAAATTTAAATACTCTAATGTAGAAATCTTCTAAAAGGCTTTCAGGCAGAATAATTCGGTAATTAGACACTTAACTTTTATAGGCAAGGCCAACAGAAATACTACAAATCAGCTGGAAAGTGCATCTATGTCATTTACTTGCTTCAGCTGTTACCCAGGGTTCACCAATGATCTTGTTTTATCTAGTCAGTTGCTCACTGCCTCAAGTCTGCTGGACCACAGCATTTGGAGTAACGGATGTTGGTCTATCTTGACATTTGAAAAGAAAAATTCTCCCACAAAAATGCTGTTATCTCACGGTTATGGTTGCTCACATCAATTTCTATCTTAGTAGTCACGGAAGATTGTGGAAATCACCGGTTTGGTAATATTAATATCCAGGCTACTCTGAAATCACGTCTCCCACAAATGAAATATAATACCCACGCATGGAGTCCTTTGCTCCAGACTAAACTCCCCGTTAGCTGCTACGTTGAACCACCCACATGGAACACGTGTTTTCTCCTGACTTCCCTTAAACACACAGGCTTATATTGACTTCATATTAACATATCTGCATAGACATATATGCAGCCATATAGTGGATAAGGCGTTTACAGTTATATATGTGAATGTGTAAAATGGTATGATGCCAGAATTAATGTTGTACCTTCAAGTGTGTGTTCAGGTAAGGGAGGGGAGACTGTTTCACAGCTACGGAGAAAGGCCAGATATTTGGCAGGAGCCTAGACAGCAGGCTCACTGCAGCTTCAAGTCCCACCTTACATGGGCCATAGGTATTCGTCCAGGGGGCAACTTGTCATGGGGCAACTTGTCACCCTAGTTTCTTAATTACCTCCCTACACTCCTGATTTCTGTCCATATATTTTTTCCTGATGATTTTTATTAGTGTTTATTTTTGAGAATATATGATAAAAACTACACGACTGGCAAAAAAAAAGGAGAAGTCTCACTTTGGAATTAGGAGAGGTGAGACAGTGGAGGTATTCAGGCCAGGAAATGGCCTACACATTGAGATTGGCAATAAATCAGAAAGAATTATTGCCCATCCTTTATCCCTCTACTCTTTGCCAAGGTGTATTCCTCCCATCCTATCCCTGGCTCCCTGCAATGCATTAAGCACGGTCCTAGTCCAACAGATCTCTTTGTCCTTTTAGGGGCCAGTTGAAATATGAATTCTGGCATGTTAGGTACCACTAGTTTGTTGATTGTAGGCTAATGAGGGTCACCTGTTACTGGATGCAACATGGCATGCTGGGAAGGAGTACTGCAGAACATGAGAGAGTCTTTTAGCTAGACAGGAAAGAATAGAGGGAGCCTGGGTTTCTTATCTCTGGTATGAGGCTTACAAATGTCATTTGGTTTGGTGGGTACTTGTTATGCAGTTATGAAACAGTAAGTGAATGAAGAAGGGGAAGCCAGTGAAAGGGAACCCCTCCGAGATAATGGAATACTGGTATGAGATGGGTAGCACTTCTTGGTACCTGTCCTCATTTCGGGGGTCTAGTCTATAGTTTCCAGAGAGGGTGAAAAAAGGGTTCTCAGCAGAAGGAGAGCTGAAAGATAGTTTCCCACAGCAAGAGAGGACTTCTGACAGGACTGGAGCCATATCAGCCTGGGAAGGTTGCATCTGAATGGGAATTGAAGCAGCAGATGCATCTCTACCTTGGTAAGGTAAGACATTGCATTCCTTCAATGGGGAGGATCTGCCTGTATGTAGAGCTTCTCACTCTGATTCTATTCACTTCAGATTCTGGCGGTAATGTAAGTGGAAAAAATAGGCATAGACTTCACCAGGGAGCTGCTAGGATGCTTTGATTAACATACATGTTGGTATGTACTGGGAAATCACCTGAAAAAATTATTGCTCTAATATTTCCTTGTAGCAGAGAGAGAAACAAAAGACTTAAAAACTATAATTGGTTATGTGTGTGCGCGTGCAGGTGCATGCATGTGATTTTTGAGAAATATACACACACTCATTCTCTGATCATAAAGCGGTGTTCATGCCTAAACTAAGCGGCTAATAAGCATACAGCTGGAGCTGTTGTCTAGCATTGTCATGCCTACTGTTTGTCTTCCTCACTAACTGGGTTGTGTCAATTATGCTCCAGTCATATAATGAGCACTGATGAAATGACCCATGTGGTCTGCCCCTAAGTCTGAGACAGGATTTAGACTCTTTAATCATGTTTGATGGGACATTTCATATTTTGTTACCTGGACATTAGCTAGTAGATTCTTGGTACTATAAAATAGTGAGGTATCCTAATTAATGTTAGCTAACTAGTATCTTCTTGAGTGGTATCCGGAAAGCTGGTGAAGAGGTGCTTCCCCTGCCCTCTCCCCACCCCTGGTTCTTGCTTCTCATTTTTTAAGGTATACAATTACCAGCTTTCTCTGGTGCATTTGATAGGTTAGCAATGGTTTGCCTCTGCTATGTAAAGACTTTTTTTTTTTTGAGGTAAAAAAATGCCAAGTAATGGCTATGTTGTCATGGAAAATATAGGATGTTTATGGTCTCTGGTTGTATCATTTTTTTATTTTACTTTTTTTCCCCCTAAAACACAATTTTCCATTATGGGATAATCAGGGCAACATAATATCCAACTTTGACACCAGTTCTTGCCCTTCCTTTCTCTCCTTTAACAGAAAAGGGCATTCCAAAGACTACAATTCAAAAATACCGAGGGCGAAGCAGGTTCTTTCAAGCTTGGAAATAACTGGCATTAAAATCCACTAATTCAGGTGCTGAATATATAACAGGCCTATTGCCTGTTAATGAATTACTCACCGGAGGACTGTGCATGAATAAGATCTCTGGAAGACAGGAGCCTAGAAGGGAGAGTCAGGAAGTCCTGAATGCTAACATCAGCTCTGTCATCAACTCGCTATGTGGCCTTTGAGCAAACCACTTCATCTCTCTTAAGCTTCACCAGCTGCAAAATGGGAATAATGATGGATGCCTACTTACCTCACACGGGTGTTATGAAATTACTCAGTTTGTCCAATGCTCTGATGGTATAAACACAGACGACGCGCTGTTGTGACTATGCAACATGCTGTACATGTACAAGCCAGCAG